AATTGGGGAAAAACTAACAAAAATACTGAGTAGATAATAATGATACGAATTCTAGTAATAAGAACAATATAAAACGCACCAAGGATTAATGAGCTACTGGATTCATGAATATTAATCAGGTTGTGTGTGTTCGCTGAACCGATTTGCTGAAATCAAAACAGGGACGATAATAGGTGAGCGCCAGCCAATGAGATTGCTGTTTGCGCATTAGTTCCGCCCACTAGCGGAAAACCCGGCATTTCTTAAAAGCTGAAGAATTCCAAAGGAATTTATTTTGACAGCAAAATACAACAAAGAATATCGTTTACATGTAGCGCGTCAATTCTCTCTCTCCCTCTCTCGCTGCGTGTGTGTGAAACAAAGCGACGGCGAGTCGTGCGCTTCACATTAGAGTTTACATACAGGTTAAATACACGTTAAATACAGGTGCGTTGCACATCCATTCAGATGAACTGAAAAACAGCACAGATCGCTTGGCGGAGACAGTAGTGAAACTCTGAAGCGCTCAGTGTTCGGCGAGTGAAAATATATCTGTGCTAAACTTATATTTAGCCTCCAACTCACACACTGGCGAGTAAAATCTGAGAATTTATTAGCCATTGGCTAATATTAGACATCATTTAGTCGCCCAGAGTGAAGATTTAGTTGCATATGCGAGTGATTTACTCGCAATGTAGAGGGTTGACTTTATATAAAATGGGAACATTATATGTAAAATTCACTTTAAAGAAGGTTTTTCATTTTAGTTTATGGAAAATGTGCCATGCTTAAGATTTCTGACACCTGTTGGACAACACTGAGAATGGAAATGTCAATTCCCTCTATAAGCAGTAGATGGCTGCAGAGGAGCACTCATTGGCTCATTCGTCCTTTCACTCTGTAATAAAGTTCTTTTTGATGTGTTTTGCTTTTGGATTTATATTCAGACATTATAAAATCACTTATAACATTTTAAAATGACTTTTTGTCAAAGTTCAGCACTGTTTTGTACTGATGTATGAAGTAGCAACTCATGGGATATACATGAATCTGACAATAGATCTATTTTGAATTCAAAACTGCGATTTTGGGCGAAAGGTTTCTAAACCGAACACCCATTCACAAACATAACGCAACTTTTTTTTTTTGAGAAACCGAGATACTCGGAAATGAACTGATATTATAATGTTAATCACTTTCACTTCTCAAGCAGCAACGTTAAATGTTGATTGATTTCATGACTTACAATGACAAGAATGATAGGTTAAGCTTGCCAATCTCTGTTTGTTCACTTGGACATTGCTGACCTCATTTTAATGCTTTCATGTTATCTTTTTCTGTTCTGCGCCCCAGAATCTTCCGGTCATGTGACTCTGTCTGACAGTAATATGTATTCATATGATATGTATTCACTTGATGATAAACTCAATTAAAATGTTAAACAACCATTAAATAAAAATGTTTCTTTCATAGTTTTCAACAAATAAGCTTTTGATCATTTATAACCTTTCATTAATAAAGGTATTAAAGAAGATGTTCATGCCCCTGGTGACAGATTAGTCTTTACCTGCATCAGTTAAACGCAGAGACTGAGTCGGATTCGATTAGGCTGGATTTTCATGACGTCATCAACTGGAGATTCATATTACAGTAAAAGCTTTAAATACTATCGTAATGCACAACGTTCTCAAGCACTAGACGGGTTTTCGGATTGAGAGTGCCTGTCATTAACTGTAGCATCAGACTGGACATAAACACCAGCAAGAAAAACCCGTTCTTGTGGAAAATCTATCTTTAAATGAAGGACAGCAGTATTTTGAGCTGTAATGGTGATCTGATCCGAAGGACGAATATCAGACCGCTGCACCAAACTACAATCTCACTCAGAAACACCCAGTTTCATAAAATATCTGTCACTGATGCGTTGATTGCAGAAAATGTTTATCAGATACTGTTGAATGTCACTGAAATCTCTGTCTTGTTTGAGTTTGTGCTCATTTTGCACATTGTATGTGCTCAGATTTTGATGTGGTTTACAAAATAAATAAATTAAATAATCACTCCATTATAATAAAGCTGACACACTCTGATAAATGCCTTGGTTTGGGCCAGAGCTTCGAAAGCGCAGATGAAGATCTTCTGAGAAAAGCCGCAGTGTTTTGTCGATTCAGGGAAAGTCGGTAAGCATCCAAGCTCTTGCCAACATCTTCAAAATCTCTTGTGTTTCGACAGAAGAAAATAAGTCATACAGGTTTGGAACGGCTTGAGGGAGAGTAAATCATGACGAGGTTTGTGTGAATTACCTTTTGTTTTTGGTAGTAATATTTTGTCTCTTATATTATGATGGGACAGTAAAGCAGTGCCCTGACCGACGCTCATTTGTTGTTTCTTTGTTCTTCTGGGTTTATATTGGTAAACGCACTAACAATGAGCAGTACATTTGTAATCGTCTATTAATCTTTGCTAATGATTTAATAGAGTTAATTTAAATAGAACTGTTGATTGTTAGTTTGTTTTAGCTCAGGTCCATCACTGGTGACCCCTGCTCTGCACATGTTGCATGCCTCCTTTATTTAACACACCTGATCATTTAGACTATATGTATTTATTTCAATTCTTAAAGTGCATGCTTAGTCCTATGTGACTGCACCATGGGGACTGCCCTAATTTCACTTTACTTGTATAGTGACTAAAGACTCTTGAGTGTTGATTGAGATCATCAGCTCGTTAGGAGCGATCCATGAACTGAACCGAGTGACAGATAAGAGAGGCCTACAGAATGTGCCAGGACTGGAACTGAATTTGAACCAAGATTAATAAATGCTTTAGAAATGTGTTTCACTGTAAGTTCATATTAACTAATGCAGTTAAATAATGTTAACAAATGGAACCTTATTGTAAAGTGTTTCCAAAGAAAGTTATGTTAAATATATGTTATATATCTGCTGTTCATGTTTTGTCACTTTGGTGCATTCATAAGTTTTGTTTGAAGAACTGGTGACATTCAGTGTGTAAAAAAGCGAAGATATAGAAAATCAAACACACTTTCACGGCACTGTATAAATGATGCATCTGTGCTGGAAAAGTGATCAGAACGGCAGCTTTCAAAACACTGAATAAAGCAGAGACCGACTGCAGGAAGGTACTTTATTTGCTGATGTCCTGCTTCATTCACATTCAGTTTATGTCTAATTATTTCTGATCATCAGGCCTGTTTAAATACCACTACATTTCAAAAGGCAAAGAAATGCTATAACTAGGTAGGTTGTTTTGTTGATGAATTTGTATTACGTACGTGGTTATTTGTGACTGTAAATTTTTGTAAATGTGGAATTTTATTGTAATTTTTGTATTTATACTGCAGTGCCAGTGAACCTGTTACCGGGAGTGAAGTTTGTGCTTTACATCAAGGACCACAATGGAAATAAGTTTTGTTTTAAACTTTATTGTGTTATCCTTGACGAATAGAGTGTATTCACTACTTCTTTGTCAAATAAACATAACATAACATAACTCCAAACATAGTTTGCATGTTTATGCACATTTATCACTGACATGGTTGTGTTGATCCACTTCTGTGTTCATGAACAGAAAAAGAGTAACAAAACCCCAAACGCCAGAATCCTTTTCAGACCTTTTAGGGGAATATTTGGTGAACTGTCCATGAAATATGATGAATTCAGTCATAATTACTGAGTGACTGCTTTCTACAAAGGCTGGTAATGTCTAAGATGAAGTGTCTGTAAACGGTCTGATGAGCCTCTAACATCCACAGGATTGTGACACACGTGTTTAAAACTCACAACAGTGTTATTTAACATTTCCTAACTAAGTTTCTGTTTGATGTGATTCTGTTGTGCTTGTGAGCGATTCTTCGTGACTCGTATCGTTAGGCTGAAGAATAAACAAACTCTTCTCTCTGAGCTGGGTTTTGTGTTTTGTGTGGATGTTTCGGGCTCCTGAGCTCCTCCTGAGTCACTGACAGAGGAGCTGAAGGTCTTTCTAATGCTCAGTCAACAGACTTATATTCATCAAATTCAGGTATGATTTGCTTTGGGGAATCTCGTGATCTTCACATGATGACGCACTGAGTGGCTCCGCAGCAGTCCTTAATGAGGGCCGCGCTGCTCTTGCTGATGGAGGGTTTGTTGGCTGAATGGTTGTCAGGAAACCAATCAGATGATGTGCTGCTATGTGAACGAGCCAGTGTGAAAATCAGAACAAGACTGAAGAGAGAGACTACAGAGTTACAGTCACTGGGACTTTCTTCTGTTCTGAGCTCAAATATACGTTTAGTTTCATCACTTTGTTCAGTGTTTACTGTGTGCACTTCATGCATGTCACCTAGCAACAGCCCAACCTGACGCAGTGTGCACCGCCTGTCGTGTCATGAGTCGTGTGACAGAAACATCACAGATCTCTCCCATAGAGGAATAAGAAACATGCACGTGAGAGACGGCTGTGAAAACTCTTACTCTGTGTAACGCTGAGCTTCTGTCGGAGGAACTCGGCCATCTCTTTATCTTCCTCCTGCTCCCTGATAGACAGAGACAACCAGAGAAATCTCACAGAAACTTTCAAAAAGTCAATTTGATGACAAATGTCATCTCTTTCACCTCAGACGCTCGACCTCAGCATCATCCACCAGGAAATCTCTCTTCTGCACCAGCTGATGAATCTCCTGGAGTAACTTCTCTTCTCTCTGACGATGTTTCTTAGTCTTCTCTGCATCTGTGCGTTAGATGAAAACACACATGAATCCAATCTGAGACGTAACGCAGCAGTGTCTCAGGTCATATAAGCCTCACTGCATCCTTCGGCCCTCACTCGCCTCTCGTTGGCTGGGTTTCCACTGAACTACTTTTATTACAAATGAATATGTGCTTATCAATTACTGAATGGTTCATGCTGGTGGGTTTGGTGGATTTTGGTGAGGTGGATTTTCTTTGGTTTCATATAATGACATGTAATCTATGTAGCTGATGAAAACGCACAATGTTTCGCATTCACTTTAGTTGAATTTATGTGTGTGTGTGTGTGTGTGTGTGTGTGTGTGTGTGAGAGAGAGTGT